TAGTAGAAATACTGCATAATGGCATATACTATATAATGATAACAGAAAGAACATATAATGCTTGTCTTGCCAAGCATTGCGTTCCCTACTTGTCTTCCCAACCCTGTATGTACTGGCATCACATTAACAGCTTAACGTTGGTCGTGGTGGGAGTATTTACACCACAGTAATCAGCAAACATTACAAATCAAGGCTATTCCACACACCCCCGCCCCTCCCAGACCTGGTGGTTAAACATTTATTTATCATCATACCACTGGTTAAGGACAGTCTGAGGCTCAAATGGTGACTGTGGAGTCTTGGCAAAGACCATCTTCCAGTTCTGTCAAAGATCTGGGCTTTCTTCTGCATAAGGAGATAGAATTTATTTACTTATCACTGGGCCAATTAACCAAGTGATTTAGAACATTTGATTCAGTCCTCTTGAGATAGGAGGTGGGGTTCAGACATGGAACCAAATTAAGGAAACCAGCTAAAACATGGAGTGGGCGAGGCGGCAGAAGCAGCTTTCTGTAAGACATGCCTGCTAGGGTGCCATGTCAGTTTACTATTGCTGTGGCGAAATCCAGGAATTACTGTCCCTTTTCATGGCAACGACCTGATGACCTGGAAGTTACACCCTCGTCCTAGAAATCTCTGCATAACCCACCCATTAATTTGCATATAATTGAAAGTAGATATCCATATGAGTGCAGCCGTGCCTCTGCGTTGCTGTTCTGAGCACACTGCCCATGGGTAGCCCTGCTCTGCGAGGAGCAGTGCCTCTGCTGCTTGCTGGCCACCACCACCAGCTTGCCCTGGAATTCTTCCCTGGGTGAAGCCAAGAAACTTCCTGGGCTAAGCCCCAATGTTGGGGCTTGCCTGTCTGTCATCACTCTTGTGTGTCTAACCTTCTACTTGTCAGGTGCTGATATGCAGGATAAAGAACATGAGAAGGCCCAGTCTTGAATTCCAGAGGTACAGAGGTGGACGGTGTCCCTGGGTACTCCCACCCAGGCAGATGCTCAGATGCCAAGGTTCAATTTAGGTCAGTACCAAGGAACAGAAGCTGAGTGCTGAAGAGGGATGCTCATGGTGGATTCATGAGTCATAAGAAATACGTCTGAGCCTCAAGGTGGTGAGTTTAGATCAGTGGTGAAAAGGCCTTCCAAACAGGGGAGAGCAGAGTTTGGGCAGGAGTCAAAGTTCATAGTCATTTTCTGAAACGTCACTCAGCTTTTCTGAAAGCTACTCTCCTGGTCAAACACACCAAGAGTCCTTCTGCATGACCACAGGGGACAGATGGGAAAGCATGGCTGACTCCTCACCATGCACCATTGAAATCTTGGGTTCTGGTCGCAGCCCTGCTGCTGAGTAGCTGTGTGATCTGGGGCAAGTCATACCCTACCTCTACCCCATGATGGCCCTCAATTTCCTTATCTTCAGAATGAAGGTTTAGATAGGACACAGTGGCTCACATCTGTAATCCCAGAATTTTGGGAGGCCAAGGCAGAAGGATCACTAGGGACCATGAGTTTGAGACTAGTCTGGACAACATAGCTAGATCCCCATCTCTTCAAAAAACTTAAAAATTAGCGGGAGTGGCAGCACACACCTGTAGTCCAAGCTACTCAGGAGGCTGAGGCAGGAAGATCTCTTGAGCCCAGGAGTTCCAGGCTGCAGTGAGCCATGATCCCACCACTGCACTCCAGCTTGGGGAACAGAGTGAGTCCCTGTCTCAAAAAAATGAAGTTCATAGGAGAGTTTGTGGGCAGCTATGGCTGACCCCATCCCCCATCACAAGCAGCCTGGGAGAAATGCTGACAGCACAGTGAGCTCAAGGGAAAAGCTGAACTGGAGGTTGTCCTCTTCCCTCTCCCAGTTCCTCTGCCCCCATCAGCTAGGGGATAGATTCAAGTCAAGCTATCCTCAGCTCAAAGCAGAGGGGAACAAGATTGGCTGGAGGAAAGTTAAGTATTTCAAATTTGCTCAGAATTTGAAAGGCTTTTTTTTTTTTTTTGAGAAAGAGTCTCTCTCACTCACCCTGTCACCCAGGCCGGAGTGCAGTGGCACAATCTTGGCTCACTGCAACCTCCACCTCCTGGGTTCAAATGATTCTCCCACTTCAGCCTCCCAAGTAGCTGGAACTACAGGTGTGTGCCACCATGCCCAGCTAATTTTTCTATTTTTGGTAGAGACAGAGTTTCACCACATTGGCCAGGCTGGTCTCAAACTCCAGAGCTCAAGTGATCTGCCCACCTTGGCCTCCCATAGTGTTGAGATTACAGGTGTGAGCCACTGCGCTTGGCCTAAAAGGCATTTTGTAGACTAATGGTGAACAGATAAGCACTTAGCAGAAGGCCTGTGTCCTCTGTAGAAGTGGTAGGTGAGTTTCATTGGGTTGGAAAACATCTGTTCTCTAACTACTGAACCAGAACGTTGAATGGCAGAAAAATGAAAGACTAATTCTTCTTTTTTTCTTTCTCTTTAGAGATGGGCTCTTGCTCCAGGCTAAAGTGCAGTGGTGCGATCTCAGATCACTGCAGCCTCGGCCTCCAGGGCTCCAGCAATCCTCCCACCTCAGCCTCCTGAGTAGCTGAGACTACAAATGTGCCACCATGCCTGGCTAATTTTTTTTTTTTTAATTTTTGTGGAACAGGGTCTCACTCTGTTGCCCAGGTTGTTCTCAAACTCCTGGGCTTAAGGGATCCTCCTGCTTAGGCCCCCACACAGTGCTAGAATTCCAGGCATGAGCCACCACATCTGGCCTCCTGCAGGCTCTTTCGCAAAGTCCCAAGGTAACTGGCAGATGAAGGCCAAGACCAAGTTAGGGGATAGTAGGGGAATGGTCCATTGCTCCTGATTAACAAAGCTTTTTTTTTTTTTTTTTTTTTAAATGGAGTCTTGCTCTGTTGTTCAGGCTGGAATGCAGTGGTGTGATCCTGGCTCACCACAACATCCACCTCTCAGGTTCAAGTGATTCTCCTGCCTCAGCCTCCTGAGTAGCTGGAATTACAGGTGTGCGCCACCATGCCCAGCTAATTTTTGTATTTTCAGTAGAGATGGGTTTTCACCATGTTGGTCAGGCTGGTCTTGAACTCCTGACCTTGTGATCTGCCCGCCTTGGCCTCCTACAGTGCTGGGATTACAGGTGTGAGCCACCGTGCCCAGCCAACAAAGCTCTTTTTAAGGAAGAAGGTAGTGCTGTAATTGAAAACCTTGTCTCACTCCCTAAAAGAAATCAAGGGACGCCGTTGATTTCTTTTCTCTGAGACTTAGCTAGGCAGGGTGTCAGCCAGGCTCTGCTAAGGTCCCTCCAGAGCCTTCTGCTAGTCAGAGGGGAAGGACTGGGTTGTTGATGATCTGACCCTTGTCTGGCTGGCACCAGGCAGCTGGGGATGCGGCCTCTCTCTAGGCTAAAAGGCAAGGGTCAGTTTCTTCCGGGATATCTCAGGACATTCATTTTGCAGACTGCCCAAGGTTTAAATATACTGGTTTCAAGATCTAAAGGAGTCAGGGCTCCATTTTCTAGTGAGGAAGGTTTTATAGACTTCCTGGGGTTTTTGAGTGGGGAAAAGGAGGCAGAACCCAAGCGCTGCTACAGAAGATGGCTATGGAAGCCCTTACCTGGGAGTGTTTACCCCAGGGAAGGATGAGGAAAGGGGACACACAGTCTTGGTCTTTGCAGACCGAGACAGAAGGATGGCAATGGCAGGTCCAGTCTGTGGGTCACGTACACTCCCCCAAGGTCAAACCTGTGAGGTAACATGCAGTGAAGCCTGTTTGGATTAAAACAACACTTTGGCCCTGCTTTCAAAATATAAACTCAGGCCAGGCTCCGTGGCTCACACCTGTAATCCCAGCACTTTTGGAGGCCAAGGCAGGATCACTTGAGGGGTTCAAGACCAGCCTGGACAATATGGTGAAACCCCATCTCTACTAAAAATGAAAAATTAGCCAGGCATGGTGGCAGGCACCTATAATCCCAGCTACTCAGGAGGCTGAGGCAGCAGAATCGCTTGAACCCAGGAGGTGGTGGTTGTAGTGATCTGAGATCCTGCCACTACACTCCAGCTTGGACGACAGAGCGAGAGTCTGTCTCCAAAACAAAAACAAAAAATCAAAAAAACAAACAAAAAAAAACACACCTGAGGAGTTCGAGACCAGCCTGACCAACATTACGAAACCTCGTCTCTACTAAAAATACAAATTAGCCAGGCTTGATGGTGCACACCTGTAATCCCAGCTACTGAGCTGAAGCAGGAGAATCACTTGAATCTGGGAGGCAGAGATTGCAGTGAGCCAAGATCGAACCATTGCACCCCAGCCTGGGCAACAAGAGTGAAACTCCATCTCAAAAAAAAAAAAAAAAAGCAAAACAACAACGAAGATAGTTCCACTTACATACTCAAAACCCTCCAGTGACTTCCTGTCATAATTAGAATACAAACCTAACCTCCCTCCTGTAATCCCAGCTACAGTGGGAACTGACCAACCACTGTGATCTCATCAGGGCCCACTCTCCCCTTCACTGGCCATGCTGACCTCTCCCACCTGGATGCCTTTCACCTGCTTCTCTCTCAGCATGGGTCAAGAAAAGCCCAGGCTGAGGCTGACCCGTTTCAAAGCAGCCACCAGCTGCCTCTACCATGTTCTCATCACATCGCACAAATTGTGACTGACTTCGAAGCACTTACGAGTCTCTGAACTTCTTATTCACTTGTTAGCCCTCACTAGAAGATAAGCTTCAGAGACCATGGAGCTCAAGTGTCCTGAGATAGTGAATGGCACATAGTAGGTGCTCAATAAAATCTGTGTTGAAAGAATGAGTGAGCAAATGAATATACTCAGGGACCTTATGAAAAAAACTGTTTATGCACATCACTGACATTGCCACAGGCTAGAAAAGAAGGCAGAGTGGTCTGGGAGCGGGGAAGAATGGCAGAGAAGCAGGGGGGAGTTGCACCTCTAAATCCGTGTTGTGGGACCACAGGGTGGACAGGGGCTGTGAGTTACAGCTTTTAGGCGGTACCCTCAGCCTGGGCTTCCCTCCAGGCCTGGCGCACCTTGATCTTCACTTTGAAAGAGTCGATCATAAAGACCACCTTGGGGTTGCCTTCCAGGGAGGGCAGTTCCCCATCATCTGGCACCTCCAGGTCGAACCTCTGCAGCATCCAGGCCATGATGAGGAAGAGCTCCTGGCGGGCCAGGATCTCACCTATACAGGAGCGAGGTCCTGCTCCGAAGGGCAAGTAGCTTAATGTCGGTGAGATGAGCTGGGTTCCCGCTTGATTCAAGAAACGCTCTGCAAGCAAGGAGTGGCATCAGCCAGGGGCTAGGGCAGGAGCAAGTAGAGGCACCGTTCTGCCCTGGCTGAGGGGGAGACATGGCCCTGCCTGCCCAGGGAACCCTGATCTGAGGATGTAGCCTTATTGTGGGGGACCCCAGCTGGAGGAGAGATACAGCCCTGCTCTCAGGTTACCCTTCAGGACACAGAGGAAACGAAATATTCAGGAAGGATGGAAAAGAGGTGGAATTAACCTATGAAAACACCACCATCCAAGGGGAGAAGCAAGAGACTTAATAGCAGACAGAGGCCTAGAGGGCTTCTTGGAGGGCTGGAAGTAGAGTGTGGGAAACCCAGCTGTGAAGAGTGGGTAAGTCTATGGCAGGATGAGGATGTTGACAGGTCTGTGAGTTGGAGCTGAGTTTTCTAGCAGCAAGCTTGGCAGAGGTGAAGGGGTGCTGGAGTGGCGGAGCAGAGTCCAGGCTGGCTGTGTGGCCCAGGGCCCAGGGCAGGACAGGGACTCACCAGGCATGAACTTGTCTGGCTGGTGCCACTCCTCACTGTGATGCAGCGCCCACAGATTGATGATAACATGGGTGCCCTTGTCCACAGCAAACTCACCGATGCTGCTCCAGGGAGGAAGGGGAAAAGCGGCTCTGTCAGACGTTGATCAGTATTTGCGGAGGTCTGTTTTTGCAGACTTTGACTTAGCAACAGATGAATGAAATACACTGTTACATACTAGAGTACAGCTCACGAGTTGGGCTAAGGGGTCGTTAGCTGCTTTCAGAGGGCAATTGCTGCTAACTGACAACCACTCTTTTTCCTTCCTCGCATTTGTTCAGTATAGATTTAATAACAGATTTTAAGTCAATATGCATGTGGATAATTAACATGACTAAAAGAGTGGTTTTATGAATGATAATAGGTCTTGGTTCTGGGGCCTAGAATAAACACCGTTAACGGGTAATTCTTTGACTTCTTCTTGAGAGGACTATTTAGCACAAAGTTTACGTGAGTAAACAGAGACAAAGGAATGTGGGGTAAACAGACTTAACTGGGGAAGCTTGTATTATTTTAATCTTCACTTTATGACTTATTTTTCTAATGTAAGAACTGGCTGCTTTCAGCCTGTTCTATAAGTTAATAAAAACTTTTCGGCCTTCTAAAAGGTTTGAGACTATAATCTATAACTTCCCTAATCTTCCCCCCGCCCCCGTCTTTTTTTTTTTTGAGACTGAGTCTCGCTATTGTTACCCAGGCTGGAGTGCAATGGCGGGATCTCGGCTCACCGCAACCTCCGCCTCCTGGGTTCAGGCAATTCTCCTGCCTCGGCCTCCTGAGTAGCTGGGACTACAGGCACGTGCCACCATGCCCAGCTAATTTTTTGTATTTGTAGTAGAGACGGGGTTTCACCATGTTGACCAGGATGGTCTCGATGTCTTAACCTCGTGATCCACCCGCCTCGGCCTCCCAAAGTGCTGGGATTATAGGCTTGAGCCATCGCGCCCGGCCTAATCTTTCCTTTAATATTTTGCTAGCCTCCCTGAGCGAATCTTAACACTTGGAACTTCGTCCTCCCTTCCCTGCTCAGACTCATGCCCCCTCATTCCTCTACCGTGGGGGAAGCGCCCTTTACTCCGTCCTTCACTCAATCGTCTTTTCCTCAGCTTCTGCCAGATCAAATGTAAATCCAGCCCTTCCCTCCTGACAGGTGCTTATGTCTGAACTCCTGTGTCTGTGGACCTTGGTGTCTGGCATGCATGGAGGTGTGCGTTGCCGCTGCGGCGCATGCTCTGTGTGTGCTGCAGCTGGTTGGACTTGGTCGGAACATGGAGCGCCCAGTCTTTCATCCCAGACCACATGTCTCCGAGGGCAGCAGGAAGCTTCTCCCGGAAGTCAGGCAGATCTGTGGATGAGTTGATGTCTGTCTGTGGGTGGTGGAGACATGGAGCCATAGGGCCGGGGGCAGATGTTTTTTTTTTTTTTTTTTTTTTTTTTTTTGAGATGGAGTCTTGCTCTGTTGCCCAGGCTGGAGTGCAGTGGCACAATCTCGGCTCACTGCAACCTCTACCTCCCAGGTTCAAGCAATCTCCTGCCTCAGCCTCTCAAGTAGCTGGGATTACAGGCATGTGCCACCAACACCATGCCTAATTTTTCGTATTTTTAGTAGAGATGGGGTTTCACTGTGTTAGCCAGGATGGTCTGGATCTCTTGACCTCGTGATCCGCCCACCTTGGCCTCCCAAAGTGCTGGGATTACAGGCGTGAGCCACCATGTCTGACCTGGTAGGATGATTTTTTTTTTTTTTTTTTTTGAGACGGAGTTTCGTTCTTTTTACACAGGCTGCAGTGCAATGGCGTGATCTCGGCTCACTGCAACCTCCTGGGTTCAGGCAATTCTCCTCCCTCAGCCTCCTGAGTAGCTGGGACTACAGGCATGCGCCACCATGCCCAGCTAACTTTTTGTATTTTTAGTAGAGATGGGGTTTCACCGTGTTGACCAGGATGGTTTCAATCTCTTGACCTCGTGATCCACCCGCCTCAGCCTCCCAAAGAGGATGATTTTTAGTAGTCAATGGTTGACTGGCTTTAGGTTGGCCAGCAGGCCGGGACTAGGGGGAGGCAGGTGGGCTGGCAAGCCATGTTAGATGCAAGCGGTGTTAGGACTAGAGGTTGCTGGGAGAGCAGGCGCACCTGGTGTCAACGTTGGCCTTGTGGGGGATGAGCATAGGGGCCACGGGCCTGATGCGAAGCACCTCTCGGATGGTGGCCTCCAGCAGGAGCAGACAGTTACGGTCACTGACAGTTGGTGTGCGGCTGAAACCTACATTCTGGTCAATCTCATCGTAGAGCTTCTTCTTCACCTGAAGATCAGAGTAAGTTGGAGGTGACCAGTTGTGTGTAAGCCCAGGAGAAGCATAGGCTTATAGAGGAATCCAACTGTGACATCCAGAAGAGCTTGTCCAGTCCCTTCCCAGTAGTGGCTCTGAGGCCCAGGCCCTGCTTCCAGAAGATGGGGCAGTCAAAGTCAACTACAGCTTGGGTAACGGGCAGGGCAGGCCTAGTCTTCCTGCATAGAAAGCCTGAGGAATTGCCTCTCCCTCTCTCTGGAGCCCAGAGGTTGGGCTAGCAGGGGTCTAGGATTGATTAGGGGGATGCACACCTGAGGATTGTGCAGGAGGTAGGCCACGATCCACTTGACCACAGAGGTGGTGGTCTCCACGCCGGCCCCAAAGATGTCCCCTACGGTGGTGAGAATGTGGTTATCTGAAAGCAGCTCTGCGTCTTGATCTGGGCTGGCATTGCCGTTATCTGCGTTCTTCTTCGCTTGCATCAGCACGTCCAGCATGCTGGTGATAGAGTCGCTGTGGAATTTCTCCTGGGTTGGGTGAGGTTGGGAGACAGTAATAAGGAAGGAGCCTCATCGGTGACACTCCTGCCATACTTCTGTCCCCGACTAGAGATAACAAGGCTCCTTCCACTTGGAAGTGGAGCGGGTCTGGGCAGGACCTACAAGCTTGTGGAGGTAGGAGGCAGCCCTGGGCCTTCTTTAAATTTGGTGGACAGGGTAGGTCTCTTCTAGGATCCTCTTCAACTCCTCACTTTTCCATCCCAACTCCTTAAGTCAGGTTTTTTTTGTTTTTTTGAGGAGTCTTGCTGCAGTGCCCAGGCTAGAGAACAATGGCTCGATCCCAGCTCACTGCCACCTCTGCTTCCTGGGTTACAGCAATTCTCCTGCCTCAGCCTCCCAAGTAGCTGGGACTACAGGTGCCTGTCACCACATCCGACTAGTTTTTGTTTTGAGACGGAGTTTCGCTCTTGTTGTTCAGGCTGGAGTACAATGGTGCAATCTCAGCTCACCACAACCTCCGCCTCCCAGGTTCAAGTGATTCTCCTGCCTCAGCCTCCCGAGTAGCTGGGATTACAGGCATGCGCCACCATGCCCAACTAATTTTGTATTTTTAGTAGAGATGGGGTTTCTCCATGTTGGTCAGTCTGGTCTCAAACTCCCGACCTCAGGTGATCCACCCGCCTCAGCCTCCCAAAGTGCTGGGATTACAGGCATGAGCCACCGTGCCTGGCCCTTAAGTCAGTTTTTATTGTACATCTACTATGTGTCAGGTTGTCTGCAAGGTGTTGAAGTGCCTACATGTGTAGAATGGACCCCACCCTGCTCTCATGATTACTTTCAGCCTAACTCATATTCTCATCTGCTCTATTACCTACCTTGTAATTTCCAATTATTTTATTCAGCAGATCATTTCGTAATTTAACATAGGTCTTTAATTTTTCCAGAGATTTGTTGGGGAAAATCTGGGAAGTAAAAAGAAATGTTAAATCCACCCCTCTTCCATTTTGCTTCTCCAGCTGCCAGAGTCTCTCCTGGAGGCAGATCTTAGCTTTCTGTCTCTGGAAGTTCTACTCCACCCCTGACCTTCAGCCAGAATGGAAGAGAAGATGGGGACACAGAATGGGCTCATCATGGCAATTAAGACAATTTTTTTTAAAGTCAGAGTCTCGCTTTATTGCCCAGGCTGGAGTGCAATGGTGCGATTTCAGCTCACTGCAACCTCTTCTTCCTGGGTTCAAGCGATTCTCTTGCCTCAGCGTCCTGAGTAGCTGGAATTACAGGCATGTGCCACCATGCCCGGTTAATTTTGTATTTTTAGTAGAGATGGGGTTTCTCCATGTTGGTCAGTCTGGTCTCAAACTCCCGACCTCAGGTGATCCACCTGCCTCAGCTTCCCAAAGTGCTGGGATTACAGGTGTGAGCCACTGTGCCTGGCCAACATTTTTTTTTTTAGATGGTCTCTCGCTCTGTCACCCAGGCTGGAGTGCAGTGGAACAATCTCTCCTCACTGCAACCTCTACCTCCTGGGTTCAAGTGATTCTCCTGCCTCAGCCTCCCAAGTAGCTGGGACTACAGGCATATACCACCATGCATGGCTAATTGTTTGTATTTTTAGTACAGATGGGGTTTTGTTGTGTTAGCCAGGATGGTCTTGATCTCCTGACCTCATAATCCACTCACCTAGGCCTCCCAAAATGCTGGGATTACAGGCATGATCCACCGGGCCCAGCCTTTTATGAAGGAAGGGGGGCATAGTCTCCACCTCTCCTTCCCCATTCAATCAAACATCAGCCGCTGACTCTGCTGTGTGCCCAGCCCTTAGATAGATGTGAGCTTGAAGCCTTGGACAAGCTCCTTAACCCTACTAAGCCTGTTTCTCATCTGCACAATGGAGGTAATAAAACCTACCACCAAGGGGAATTCAGTGATGAATGCTTATAGAATGCTTCATACTGGACGTGGTCATCAGAAAAGAAATAAGGGCCATTATCTGAAGTATTAATGTGCATAATTAAAAGGCGAAATCTAGCTCTGCAGAGAAATGGCAACGGTTTTAAGAGGTAGAGGAGGTAGAGGTCACTGTGGCTGAGGCAGTCGGGAAAAAGATGGGTCACTGAGGCTGGAGGGAGCAGTTGAAGGAAGACTGGCAACACTGTCAAGGTCCACTGGCACCTGAGTGCGGGGTGTGGCGTCATGCTCACCTTCAACCAGGGGAACATGTCTACCAGGTTCTCCTTGCCCAGGGCTTCTACAATGCCTTCGTTGTAAGTCTCTACGATCTTCAACTCAGGGGCCCCATCCTTGTAGGAGGAATTGAAGCAGATCAAGGAGATGACATTGGTTACCGCCATGAAGACAGGAAAGGAGATGTCTATGCTCTGTCCATCGTGGGTGGCCAGCACATCACACAATATACTGATTTCCTGACAAACTGAAAGGAGAGAGGGGCATGAGGGTCGGAAATGAATCAGCACCCTCACCTCCTCTCTACCGGTTCTCTCTTAACAGGAGCAGGGGACAGACAGCAGATGACCACTAGATGGCAGCAGTAGCCAAGAAAAGGCTGCGTTGCGCTCTAGTGGTAACCCTCACCCTTCCTCAACCCTCTTTTCCCTTCCCAACCCTCCTCTCCCTCCAGCGGCTCCGGCAGGATCCAGCCCCAGCCCCAGCCCCAGGGGCCAGCCTGGCACTCACTGATCTTCTCCAGCTTCTGATCACCCTCCTTGAACAGGGAAAAGGCGGCCATCACAAGCCTTCGATGCAGCTGCCAGTGTGCACCGTAGTCAGCGAAGGCGATGCCCTTGCCCTTGTTGGACAGGATGTCTATGGTTGCCTTTGGAGAGCAAGCAAGGCTGTAGGAATCACGAACCATCCACCCCACCCTGGCCCTTGCACCTCCTGTCCCTGCTCTCCTTCCTGGGGGAGAAGGCAGGTACCTGGCATGCTGTCCCCCATGTGGGCACAGCCCCATGGCACTCCACCCTGACTGTGAAGTCTTGGCAGGACAGACCCTAAGGCTTCCTACTCCCAATTCCATCAGAAAGGCAGTATATAGAGGAGAAAGAAATAGCCCTGGATTAGAATGCAGCAGTCCTGGGTCTCTGTTTGCTGATAGGGTACCCTCTGGGCTTCTTTTTATTTTTTAGATGGAGTCCCGCTCTGTTGCCCAGGATGGAATGCAGTGGCACAATCTTGGCTCACTGCAACCTCTGCCTCCTGGGTTCAAGCAATTCTCCTGCCTCAGCCTCCTGAATAGCTGGAATTACAGGGGTGTGCCACCATGCCCAGCTAATTTTTGTATTTTTAGTAGACAGGGGTTTCACCATGTTGGCCAGGCTGGTCTTGAACTCCTGACCTCATGGTCCACCCGCCTCAGCCTCCCAAAGTGCTGGGATTACAGGCATGAGCTACTGTGCCTGGCTTCTGGGCTTCTTTTTGCTCATCAGTTTCTGACCAGAGGAATGCAGCTATGGATGAGATACTCTCTAAACTGCCTGTCCAGAGGGTAGGGAGCAGGTGGGCTTATAGAGGCTGAGGACTGCGCAGATCTCCGCTTTTCCCTGAGCCCTTTAGGGAGTGCTAAAGGCACAGCTCACCTCACTTGGGTTTACCCTTCCGTTGCAAGCCTGCATTCCCAACCACAAGCCCACATCTGCAGAGTGCAGATGTTTTGTTTACCCAGTCGGGACTTGGGCCAAGCTGTCTCCTCCTAGAGGCACCCCAAAAAGCATAAGAGTCCAAAGCCTCCCTTTTCCATCCCCTGACTCTGAAGCTCCACCTAACTAGCCTCCTCCACCTTCTCTGCCCTGGGGAAGAAACCAGCAGAGGTGGGAGCCAGGTAGCTGGCCAGCAGACCTGGCTGATTGGTCCAAGGAAAAACCAACCAACCCTTGGCTTGATCAAAGCTGAGAGGCTGAGGACCCTGCTGGGGTGTTCAGGGGAGTTCTCAGCAGCAGTGTTTCTGGATGATCAGTAGCCCTCCTGGCCTGGGAGCACAACAGCAAGCTCAACAGGAGGCTCATCAGCATCCCCGAAATGTCATTGTAGATCACAGCCCACTGTGAGCCAGAGCAGCTGGAACCAGCACCAGGAAAATAGCAATCCCAGTTTGCAACAGCCAGGCTACTTGTCCCCAGCAGCTTCCCATGGAGGCCAGTAATCACTGCCCCCATTTTCCAAGAAGAGGAACACGAATCCTGGCTGTACGAGGAGACCTTACTGTGCTGGGCACTAGGCTAAGTGCTGTACATGCACCTTCTCAGTGCATTAGAGAAGTCTAGGCCCAGAGAGATGAGCAGAGTGAGGACTCCTTGACTCCTGGGACTACTGCGGTTCTCCCACCCTGCCTCCTGGAAAGCCTGGTAAAGGAGGCCTTCCCTTAATTCTTCCTGCCTCACTTGGAGCCCAGGTGGGGGTCTGAAGGTTCACTCCCCTCACATCACTAGTCTGTTTTGGGAAGAATTACAGTTGGAGCTGGAAGCCCCATTCTAGGCATGGTGTGAAGACCTGAACAACCCTGGGGATGGAGAAGGGGACAGGGAGGAGATGGGCATCACTTACCACTTGAGGCCGACCAGAGAAGTCCTTGCCCTTCTTCATAAGTACCTCCTTGGCCAGCTGATGGTTGCCGACAATCACTGTTTTGTTCCTGCCCATACGAAGGGAATAGATAGGTCCATATTTTTTCTGCAGCTTGAATAAGTTCTGATGCATATGGCCATGTCTGGGGAGGAATGGCAGGCTGCCCACCAGGGGCAGGGACAGGAGGCTCTTGGGGTACTTGGCACCAGGGGACCTTCTCTTGGGCCAAAAGAAATAGGTGAGGGTAAACAGCAAGAGAGTCACAAGCTCCCACATGGTGGCTGGGTGCCGGCAGACAAGAGGGACAGCGGTGGAGTGGGAGAGCTCCGGCAACTCTAGGACACAAAGAGGCTTTTAAAGGGCTACACTGATCTTCACCTTGACTTTGTGTTATCTCCTGCCTTGTGAAAGATTCTCCTGGAGCCCAGCCAGGCCTGAGCTCACTTCCAAAAGGGAGATTGGTGGTGGGAGTGAAGGCCTCTTCAAGGGCTGGCTCAACTCCAGGGCAAACCTCTGGAGGAGGAGCTAGGTAAGGGAGGTCAGTTGATCCCCCTCTGAGGAGCTCTCCATGCTTGAATGACCCCAGAGTGCAAATGTCATCTGGGCTCAGGAATCAAGACTTGGAACTTTCCATGTTGCAAAATCAAAATCACTGGACAGAAGACAGTCAGGAGGGTTACAAGTAGCAGGGATTGTCAAAGGTCTTTTATCTTATCATTTAAGAGCTGAAGAAAGTGAGGTCTTCAAAAGTCAGGCATGGGGCTGGGCACGGTGGCTCATGCCTCTGATGCTAGCACTTTGAGAGGCTGAGGTGGGTGGATCACTTGAGCTCAGGAGTTCAAGACCAGCCTGGCCAACATGGTGAAACCTTGTCTCTACTGAAAACACAAAAAATTAGCCAGGCATGATGGCAGCTTTAATCCCTGCTACTTGGAAAGCTGAGGTAGGAGAATCGCTTGAACCCGGGAGGCGGAGGTTGTAGTGAGCCAGGATCGCACCACTGCACTCCAGCCTGGGCAACAAAGCCAGATCCCATTTCAACAAAAAAAGTCAGGCAGTGACTTCTGAGGACCCAGGTCAAGCCCCGCTGCTGCTGCCCTCACCTGAGGGGAGTGAGAAGAGGCTGCGCCTGCAGAGGAACGCAGAGTCTTGGAGTCGCCATGGGAGAGGAGCATCTTCTTCCTGGCAGCAGCCGCCACCAGACGCCAGCCCACCCATTTCCCCATCCCATGCAGCCTGCTTCTGCAACGTGATATGAGAGAAGGGACTATATCTTCCTTGAATTTTGTGTTGAAGACAGTAAAGATGTTAATGTCAGTTTTGAGAAATCCAAACTTGCATTCAGTTGTCTCGGAGGAAATAATTTTTTTTAAGTAGAATCTTTTTTATTCAGAAAAAAGAAAAACCCCCACACCAAAAAAATTTTCCAGCCACACACAGGAGGGGCATGGGTAGGGGGAGGTGACTGCCCATCCAGCCCTGGCCCTCTAGCCCATGTGGTTTTGGCAGCAATAAGGTGTGTGGGGTAATGGCCCCCAAAATATAAATGGTATATGTGTGTATGGGAAGGAAAGGGGTGCTAAGCTGTGGGGAGCAGTGGGGAAGGGACAGATGAGGTCAGTATTGGGAACGCTGGAGGTAGGAGGCCGTTTCCTAACATTTCCTGTTAATCAAACCGCTTTAGACACCTTCTTTGCCAATCAGCAGGACTAGTGCCCTGACAATCATGGTGACAGTGATACTGAAGTTGCGGGATCCTCAACTGGAGAAAGATTTACCAACCAAATGAAGAACCAAAATAAATAAATAAGTAAAAAGCAGGAGTTGCAGTTCTCACATCTGATAAAATAGATTTCAAAGCAACAAAGATATAGTGGTAAAAGGATCAATGCAACAATAAGAGCTAACGATCCTAACACCCAGATGCATAAGACTCTTAAAGAGATTTAGACTCAACGAGACAGAAAATTAATAAGGATATCCAGGACTTGGACTCAGATCTGGAACAAGTAAATTCAATAAATATTTATAGAGCTCTCCACTTTAAATACACAAAATATACATTCTCCACCTTAAATACACAAAATATCGATCGGCCATTATTAATACCCATTTTTAGATTAAAGCTATATTCCCATTCTCTCTCCCTCTTTTTTTTCTTCCTCTCCTTCACTCCTTTTTTTTTCTTTCTTAAAAAAAAAAAATGAAGTTGCGGGCTCTGCTGGTGCTCTTGGTATGAAGATCCATGCTCAGTTCCCCATCCTGCAGCAGTGGGTCCGGGATCACAGAACATTTCTGGCCCCCAAGTGTCAGCCCATTCACGAAAAAACTTGACCAGTCTTTGCCAATCAGGACACCAACCTCAGCTGGCCTGATGTTGGAGAAGGTTTTCCCAGGACGGCAGTCCAGATGGAGGGCGAGTCTTTGCAGCCCACAGCGGCTGTGTCCTGACAGGTCCCTTCTGCCACCAGGTTGTTGATGTGGGCGTTCCACCCTGCCATGGGCTGCTGACAGCGCTGTTGGTGCCTTGGCAGGCGGGCAGGGGAGGCAGAGAGCTCAGGGCACACGCTGTGGTCTGGACCACTGCTCCACTAACTGTGCAGAAGCCCTAGTACCGCCACTTCCTGAAAGTGTTCATTTTAAGCATTTTGATCTTTTTCGCTCTATTGAGCCAAATGATATCAAGCGTAAACCAATGGACAGATGGATTTTAGTTGTTTACAAAAAGGAAAATCTGGCCAGTCATGGCCAACGTTAACAAAAGAAAGGGCAAATCTTAACTGGCTTAGTGTGGACTTCAGTCATTGGAAAGATTGGGAAGATTATTCAGATGAAGCCATGTCTGATTTTGATCGTTTCTCTGAGAACCACATGGGTGGTGAAGAGGATGTAGATTTACCAGAGGGAGCAGATGATCATTCACAGTATAGCGATGATGAAAAAATACCAGATCTGGAGTAAGGAATATTGTCGTTACCTGGATTTTGAGAAAGAAAAATAACTTCTCTGCAAGATTTTATAATTGAGGGAATTCCTGAGTTGATAGCTCTAAAGGTGCATGGTGTCTTTGCCTACTTAAACTTATTTTTCAACCTGTTTGGTTTTCAAAAGGCCTCACTAAGGGTTGATATGTACCATTGGACCAATTTTGAGTCAGCTAAGGCAATAACCTTATGCATGAACATTTCCCAACTTCATGAAACTGTTGAGGTCCTAGGCAGTCGATGCAGCAGTTGTGATAAATACAAACATCTCACCTGTCTCCTTGTCTTCATAGCATAGATACTGACATGATAGGAAGCTCCCAGCTTGGGGAAAGAGAACTAAACGTTAGATTATAGAACATGAATTCAAAAGTGGCTGAAACAAACTGACCGACACCTTACTGGTAATCTGCTATTCCTTTTGTGTTATTCCTCAAGATTGTTCTATTAAAGCTTATTTTTCAAAAGATTTACTTCTTGGACTGGGCACAGTGACTCATGCCTGTAATCCCAGCACTTTGGGAGGCCAATGCAGGCAGATCATACAAGGCCAGGAGTTCGAGACCAGCCTGGCCACCCTGGCAAAACCCCATCTCTACTAAAAATACATATATTAGCCGGGCATGGTGGTGTGTGTCTGTAATCCCAGATACTCAAGAGGCTGAGGCAGGAGAACTGTTTGAACCTGGGAGGTGGAGGTTTTAATGAGCCAACATCACACCGTTGCATTCCAGTCTGGGTGACAGAGTAAGACTGTCTCAAAAAAAAGAATTTGATATTACCAGATGACATCACAGCTCCAAGGTAGTGGACATTCTTTTTTTTTTTTTTTGAGACAGTGTCTTGCTCTGTTGCCAGGCACCAGGCTGGAGTGCAGTAGCGCAATCTCGGCTCACTGCAACCTCCGCCTCCCGGGTTCAAGCAATTCTCCTGCCTCAGCCTCCCAAGTAGCTGGGATTACAGGAGCACACCACCACGCCCAGCTAATTTTTGTATTTTTTAGTAGAGATGGGGTTTAACCATGTTGGCCAGGATGGTCTGTATCTCCTGACCTTGTGATCCGTCCACCTCGGCCTCCCAAAGTGCTGGGATTATAGGCGTGAGCCACCACTTCCACCTGGTAGTGGACATTCTTGGTGTTAATTGTTAATCATTATAGAAGAGATAAGCCAACCAGGAGTTGTTAGTTGAGGCTCACAGAGTGGGAGATGGCATCTGTCCCCCTCTCCAGGAGTTATCTGTCTGCAGGTACAGTGAGGACTGCAGTAAGGACTGCTGGAATTAGGCAGGAAGGCAGCAGTAGGGGACCTCAAGATGAAGAGGAGCCAGCCAGGCCTCATAAGCCAGACTGCCTGGTTGCCCATTACTCAGAATTTTCAAATGTTGTTCATATTTTTAAGGCCATTTTGCGGCCAGAGGTATGGGCTGGGGCATTCAAGCCCAGGAGAAGCCTTTCTGAAAGAAAGGGTAGGAGCTATTGAGAGGTAGGCCTGGAAGGAGAGCTAGGACTGATGCAGGACAGGAGGAAAGGCAAGCCTCTAAACTGGGGCTTAGCCCAGGAGGGTTCTTGGCTTCACCCAGGAAAGAATTCCAGAGTAAGCTGGTGTTGGCAGTGCACAGAGCAGCAGAGGTACTGCTCCTCGTGGAGCAGGGCTACTCATGGGCAATGTCCCCAAAGTCACAGTCCCCAAATATAAGGTAGAGCTGCACTCATATTTACACCCACTTTTAATTACATGCAAATTAAGGGGTGGTTTGTGTAGAAATTTCTAGGATGAGGGTAGTAATTTTCAGGGCATCAGGTTGTTGCCATGGAAAAGGGTATTAATATCTGGGTGTTGCCATGGCAATGGCAAACTGACATAGCGCACTGGCAGGTGTGTCTTATGGAAAGCTGCTTCTCCACTTCTGTGCCAGAACTGGTTTTTTTTTGTTGTTGTTGTTGTTTTGTTTTGTTTTTTTTGAGATGGAATCTTGTTCTGTCATTCAGGCTGGAGGGCGTTGGCATAATCTTGGCTCACTGCAACCTCTGCCTTCCAGGTTCAAGCTATTCCCATGCCTTAGCCTCCCAAGTAGCTGGGACTACAGGCACCCACCACCACACTCGGCTAATTTCTGTAATTTAGTAGAGACAGTGTTTCACCATGTTGCCCAGGGTGGTCTCGAACGCCTGAGCTCAGGAAATCTGCCTGCATTGGCCTCCCAAAGTGTTAGGATTGCAGTCGTGAACCGCTGTGCCCGGCCTGCCCCTGACCTGTTTTGATTGGTCCTCAATTTGGTCCACTGTCTGAGTTGTGC